AACATCAACTGTTTAGACAGGACTGTGTGAATCAGGCCTTCATGGTCGAATTGCTGCAAAGAAACCACTACTAAAGGACACCAATAATAAGAAGAGACCTGCTTGGGCCAAGAAACATGAGCAATGGACATCAGACCGGTGAAAATCTGCCCAAATTATACATTTTTGGTTCCAACCGCCATGTCTTTGTGAGATGCGGTGTGGGTGAACAGATGATTTCCGCATGTGTTTTTCCCATCGTATAGCATCGAGGAGGAGGTGTTTTGATGTAGGGGTGCTTTGTGGTGACACTGTCTGTGATTTATTTATAATTCAAGGCACACTTAACCAGCATGGCCACCACAGCATTCTACAGCGATACGCCATCCCATCTGGTTTGGGCTTAGTGGGACTATAATTTGTTTTTCAACAGGACAATGACCCAACACACCTACAACCTGTGTAAGGGCTATTTTACCAAGAAGGAGAGTGATGGAGTGCTGCATCAGATGACCTGGCCTCCACAATCCCCCGACCTCAACCCAATTGAGATGGTTTGGGATGAGTCGGACCGCAGAGTGAAGGAAAAGCAGCCAACAAGTGCTCAGCATATGTGGGAACTCCTTGAAGACTGTTGTAAAAGCATTCCAGGTGAAGCTGGTTGAGAGAATACCAAGAGTGCGCAAAGCTGTCATCAAGACAAAGGGTGGCTATTTGAAGAACCTCAAATTATAAAATATATTTTGATTTGTTTAACACTTTCTTGTTTTCTACATGATTCCATATGTGTTATTTTATAGTTTTGATGTCTTCACTATTATTCTACAATGTAAAAAATAGTAAAAATAAAGAAAAACTCTAGAATGAGAATGTGTGTCCAAATCTTTGACTGGTAGCGTACATACAGTGCATTCGGAATGTATTCAGACCCCTTCACTTTTTCCACATTTTGTTACGTTACAGCCTTATTCTAAAATGGATCCAAAAAAAAATCTCAGCAATCTACACACAATACCCCATAGTGACAATGCGAAAACAGGTTTTTAGAAACATTTGCAAACGTATATAAAATTACAAAAAACAGAAATACCTTATTTACATACGTTTTCAGACCTTTTGCTATGAGACTCGAAATTGATCTCAGTTGCATCCTGTTTCCATTGATCATCCTTGAGATGTTTCTACAACTTGATTGGAGTCCACCTGTGGTAAATTAATTTGATTGGACATGATTTGGAAAGGCACACACACTGTCTATATAAGGTCCCACAGTTGACAGTGCATGTCAGAGCAAAAAATCAAGCCATGAGGTCAAAGGAATTGTCCGTAGAGCTCCGAGACAGGATTGTGTCGAGGCACAGATCTGGGGAAGGGTACCCAAATATTTATGCAGCATTGAAGGTCCCCAAGAACACAGTGGCCTCCATCATTCTTAAATGGAAGAGGTTTTGAACCACCAAGACTCTTCCTAGAGCTGGCCGCCCGACCAAACTGAGCAATCGGGGGAGAAGAGCCTTGGTCAGGGAGGTGACCAAAAACCTGATGGTCACTCTGACAGAGCTCCAGAGTTCCTCTGTGGAGATGGGAGAATCTTCCAGAAGGACAACCATCTCTGCAGCACTCCACCAATCAGGCCTTTATGGTAGAGTGGCCAGATGGAAGACACTCAGTAAAAGGCACATGACAGCCCTCTTGGAGTTTGCCAAAAGGCACCTAAATACTGTCAGACCATGAGAAACAAGATTCTCTGGTTTGATGAAACCAAGATTGAACTCTTTGGCCTGAATGCCAAGCGTCACGTCTGGAGGAAACCTGTCACCATCCTTACGGTGAAGCATGGTGGTGGCAGTATCATGCTGTGGGGATGTTTTTCAGAGGCAGGGACTGGGAAACTAGTCAGGATCGAGGGAAAGATGAATGGAGCAAAGTACAGCGAGATCCTTAATGAAAACCTGCTCCAGAGCGCTCAGGACCTCAGACTAGGGCGAAAGTTCCCAACAGGACAACGACCCTAAGCACTCAGCCAAGGAGTGGCTTCGGGACAAGTCTCTGAATGTCCTTGAGTGGCCCAGCCAGAGCCCGGACATGAACCCGAACTAACATCTCTGGAGAGACCTGAAAATAGCTGTGCAGCGACGCTCCCCATCCAACCTGACAGAGCTTGAGAGGATCTGCAGAGAAGAATGGGAGAAACTCCCCAGATACAGGTGTGCCAAGCTTGTAGCGTCAGACCCAAGAAGACTTGAGGCTGTAATTTCTGCCAAAGGTGCTTCAACAAAGTACTGAGTAAATGGTCTGAATGCTTATGTAAATGTCAAAAATCATGTATATATTTTTTTCTCTGGTACACAGCAGGTGGGAGGCCTAGCCAACTCTGTTAATACTTTTATTGAACCTTTTCAAAAGTGTCACACAAGCATGAAGATGTCGTGCTCGAAGGGGGTCATTTATGCAGGAACCAATGGGATGCTCATTTCGGGGCATTCATGCATGAACCAATCGAATTGTGGGCCACAATCACACACTATTGAATTAGCGGGGGAGAGACTATAAGGACACTGCTGGCCTGCAAAACGACTAACCAAAATCGACCTTTACCTTAACCCAAACCTTAACCAAGCTCTTAACTCAAGGCAGGTAGCCTAGTGATGAAGAGCCCTGGGCTAGTAACTGAAAGGTACCTGGTTCAAATCCCTGAGTCGACTAGTTGAAAATAATCTGTTGATTGTGCCCTTGAGCAAGACACTTAATGCAAATTGCTACAGTGTGTCGCTCTGGATAAGCACGTCTGCTAAATAGCCTAAAATGTGACCCTGACCAGGTTAGCTTAACAATGATGATGCTACACCCTGAAAACCATTTGGGGACGGTGCAAGATGGCTGCGTGAGTGGTGGCATTAAACCGAGCTCCTGAAAACCTGTATTTTTAAACAAGGCCTAATTTGATTTTGATAACCTGAAAAACATGTCCCTGTAGTTTTTTCAAATACAACCAGCAGATGGTGCAATTGGTTAAAGCAATTTGTTATGCTCTGACGTGAGGGACCTTAAGGAGTGATGCCTCCATAAAGCTGCCTCCACTGATTTCAGTACAGTATATATGGGAAACAGCAGGTGACTACTTACTATCAGAGTTTCCCACCAAAGTAGGTACAGGAAAGCTTTACCCCATACAGCAGACTGTATAATCCTACTGCACAATAGTCCATTGTTTGTATTCAATGTACCATCATTGTTTTTTCAATTGAATCATTTTGGGCCGAAACCTATTGATTTCATTTGACTAATCTGATTAAACTAAATCAGACCAATTGCAAATATGGTGAAAACATTTTGGCCTAAGTGTTTGACCACCAGAGTGTGCTATTCACTTACATTTGGAAGTGGGGCATTGTGTAAGATAGATATTGGCATTTCTGAAGACAACTGTAGACTTATCTTATTCTATGTGTTGTTGTGTTTTGGAATTAAGTGTTTTTTGTTGGTTAGTTTGGTTTTTAGAATGTGATAGAGAGGTTATACAGGAGTAGTAGAGTGGAGGGAGATGAAGGGGACCAATGGGCTGAGGACTAGAGTTTTATGGGAGGAGGAACTGTGTAGTCAGGGGAGGAGCTATGTAGTCAGGGGAGGAACTGTGTAGTCAGAGGAGGAGGAGTGGAAGAGCTTTAGGTAAAAAAGAAAAGAGGCTGAGAGTTTGAGGAGGAGAAATGTGAGAAGTAAAATCACAATGTGAAATTGGATTTTTTGAAAAACATTTTTTAAATAACAATCCAATTAGTTTGGCAATAAAAACATGGTTTTAAAACAGCAGCTCGTTTTGATTTCTCTATCTCTCTCTCTGCCTCTGCCTAACAGGATGATGTTACTTCTTTTACAGCTAGGGTAACTCAGTTCTGTTTCCTGTCTGTCTTTTTTTCACCAAGATAATTATTGTGTGTGTGTGTGTGTGTGTGTGTGTGTGTGTGTTACAGAGAGGGGGAGAGAGTGAGAGACAGTTCATGGAATGCTGTGATGTCATCAGCTCAGTCATACACAAAGGCAAGGAGGAGCACACACAAGCACACTCGCTCTCCCGAATAGTTACTCTGCTGTGGAGCATCTGCACCCCCACTGTGAGTACATCCTACTTAAATAACACATCCTTTCTCTCACACCTTCTGCTGAATTGTCTATCACTGAATCCCTCTCCTCTGCTTTTCTATCATTTTTTTTTTCCAACTAAGCGTTGAGTAGAAAGAAACCAATCTGTTTGCAGCAGTGACAGTTCTCAGTCTCCGGCTACCTTTGTCTGCCTCCAAGTGTTGCTTGTGCTGTTTCCATTGCTAATATGACCACCATGCCCAGTGAGGTACATTCAGCCCCTCTGCTACAGCAGCATTCTGCTCATGCTGTCCTGGGATGTGACCCTGTAGTTCGGTTACAGCCCAACAACGGCCATGTTAAAATGGAGCAGCTGTCTCGTGGGAGAAGGAAAAACATGAAGGGGAGTTGGAAAGGGATGTGTGTGTGTGTGTGTGTGAAGGAGGAAAAAAACAGACCCATTCCTTTGGAATCTCCTCCCATCTAGAGTCAGACACTCTGACATAGCTAAGTGAGGAAACCAGGGTTTGATGGAGGGAAAAGAGATTACTGAGATTACTAAGAGTTGAAAAAGGAGACAATAAGTTGTTACATCTTAAGAGGCAAAGAAAAAAGTAAGAAAGAAAACCAAGGCGAGAAAAAGTATCTAGGATAACTGAAGACAGCAGTAGGATTAGCATACAGTAGGGAGTGCCAAGCATCTGCAGTGCAGACAGGTGTGATGAAGCAGAGTCTCCCAGCGATAGCTGCCTGACGAGGGCTGACGACGACTGACGTGTGTGTGTGGAGGAAGGAGGAAGTGTCAGCTCAGAGGACGACAGAGGAAGCAGTCTTCAGCTTGTGTGTGTGTGTGTGTGACAGAGGAGCCCCGATCTTCTTCTTCTTCTTCTCATGAGGCTTGTTTAGAAACCAACTCATCTTCAGGAAACTGTTGCCCTAAGGAGTCAGGACAGTACCCCTCCACCTCCAGCCCACCACCGCCACCACCATGCTGCAACAGATCTTAAAGGACATGTACATCGACCCAGATGTGTTGGAGGCCCTGAATGAGGACCAGAAGAAGACCCTGTTCCTGAAGATGAGAGAGGAGCAGGTGCGGCGCTGGACGGAACGTGAGGAGAAAGATGGGGACCATAGGCCAAAGTCAAAGACAGGTACCAACTCCTCTCTCCCTCACTCACTCCTCTCTCCTTTCTTCTACTCCAGCTTCACATACTGGAGCTGTATTACCTGCTTATGAAATAAGCCTACAAACACGTTCCATTGAAACCTACACGTCTGGTCTTTCTAAAGCCAGGTACATTAGACACGTTTCAGATATGTTAGTGCATTTTCTGCTGTGGATTAACCAATAGGAAGCTGCCATGTAAAGATGAGCTGCAAGCATGTGGTTTACCTCTGACAGACATCCTGTGATGATGTGGCTACCGACAACGAACATTTTCAGTATCTACTGCTGCTTTTTTCCAGGCCCTCTGTATGTAGGTGTCTGCCTGCAAGGTTATGCACTTTGTTTCAATGAGATGGCATTACCTGTCTATATTATGCTAAGCAGGCCTGAGAGTAGGTAATGGCTAAAAAGGCTACTTGTGTCTTTTATCAAATGACTACCTGCAGTTACCAGGGTTACCATTTACTGTCACAATAGGAACACTGGAGGCTATGAGGAAGTATCCCTGCCTCATGTAGCATCACTGCGGTGAGAGAAAGGAGGAGGTCTTCAACTCGGGTTTCTAGTCACTTCCAGTAACTATGTCTGAAAGAGTAGTCCAACTAACAGCCCAGGATGTGGCTCTGCTATCTCATTTGAGGAAATGACATACTTACAGCTGACTCACCCTCAATTGATTGAATCATTGGTTCAATAATCAATTGTTTTTAAAGGGTCCTTATCAGTGAACACAAAACCCATCTTAGTATAAGACAACAAATATCTGAAACAACAACAACAGAGCAAAATGTCTAATCAGAATATGTCTGATTATGTCAGATTGTGTGTGTGTGTACAAGGATCTGCTTTAGATTTTTTGTTCCCAGCGAAGGGAGAGGCAGCCTGATGTCTGGAATGTGTGTGCGTGTGTGTTGGGAAAAAAAAGATAACAGAACATAGGAACATGCGATAGACAGAAATAGTGCCAGCCAGTGTTTCACAGAGAGTACACTGTTATTTTGTATGTTAGAGAGGAAATTGTCTGTTCTTCCTATTGTGTATATCAGCTGCAGTAAATGGCTCATTACACACACCGCTACAAACAAACGCAGGCAGGCTGTAATTCTATCTTGAAACTGGTTTGGTGTACTGCAAAATCTTGCCTGTCTGCATTTTCTCTGTAGCAAGTAGCCAGTCCCTGTGTGAGGAATTTGTGTCATAATGATAATGACTCGGTTCACAATGTGCTTGACATTCCACAGAAGGAATCTGAGAGAGAGAGAGAGAGAGAGAGAGAGAGAGAGAGAGAGAGAGAGAGAGAGAGAGAGAGAGAGAGAGCTGAGAGCGAGAGATAGATAGAGAGATGCTAGATCGAGAGAGAGATATCTATATAGCAGCGAGTACTCTCTCTCTTCTAGGCTCTGCATCCCTCCTCTCTCTCTCGTCTCTCTCCGCCTCTCCTCTCGCGATCCCTCTCTCCTCATCTCTCTCGCTCTCCGCTCTTCTTTTTTTCCCCTTCCCCCAATCACAGTCAAACTGGTTTCATCCCCCTAAGGCTGGCCTGCTTTTAGGCACATGGTGGTTTTTGCATTCATTCTGCTTGACGTGTGATTAGGATCAGGGGAAGTCTGTTTTTGGCTGCATTCGACAACAAAGCACTGATTATCGAGCGTCTGAATGTCAGACAGGGAGGAGGGAGAACAGAGGCCTCTATATCGGCTAACGACAAGGGCAGCTGTTCCTACAAGTCAATGGTCCCCCAATACACACTGGGTCGTTCCATGTCATTTCAGCAAGCCATGACACCCACCATCTCAGACTGTTCTGAAATCGTTTCTGTAGAAACAGATAACATTAGCATTCCTGCAACATTATTTTGTTGAAATATCATTTGATCACTGCTATGTTACACACACACACACACCCTGATACACAGTGCAGTGTTACACACACACCACTGGACCATAGGGTTAGAGACCTTATTGTAGCACATGTTATAGCCACAGTTCACATTATACATGAGGTGGTTGGAGGCTGTTGCAGACCTAGTTTGGTTGTTGTTGGTGTGAAGCAGAAGAAAATAGTGGTCTGTTAAAGCGCAGGACCCGGGTGTCTGCAAAGCAGGAAGTGACTCTAGGCCCACTGGCCCATTCCTTCCAACAATGAAGTGTGAGCAGAGCAGGAAGCCTGCAGTAAGTATAAGGCCATTTGTGTTAGTGGTTTAGTGTTTTTCATCTGTTCAGTTATATTTAAGTCATTTAGTTTGGGCTGTATGTAGTTAGTGTGTTGCTGAATGTTTGTAACTACATTTCTTTAGCATGTGATGGTCCTCTGTAGCTCAGCTGGTAGAGCACGGCGCTTGTAACGCCAGGGTAGTGGGTTTGATCCCCGGGACCACCCATACACAAAAATGTATGCACGCATGACTGTAAGTCGCTTTGGATAAAAGCGTCTGCTAAATGGCATATTATTATTATGTGTACATGCATGATTTGTAACACGTAGGCTATACAACTGGTATGACAGTTTTGCAGTACATGTTTTGGTGTGTTAGTACCCCTATGTGTTCACCACTATGTGTTCCTGTTTGTGTGGTTATGTCCATTTTTGGTTTGTGTGTGCGCGACGAGAACACAGAACGTGGCAGACTGGTGACGTTTGCTAGTGGCAGATGATAGAATGTAGTGCAGGTCGGGCCGCCTTAATGCCACAGTAACTAGATCCGCCCTTCCCTGAATGTACCACAGTATTTTGGTTACTGTATGTACTAAATCAGAAATGGCACTGTTCGCTTTTCAGTCAGTTTAATATGTGGGGGAATATGATTGAGGCCTGGCATTTATGAGGGTCTTTAGAGAGGGGGTGTGATCAGAGTCAAGGGGTGAAGTAACAGGAGTATTGTGACAAGGACAGGGTTCCAAGAGTCCAGAGAGACACACCTCTTACCAGTTGGACAAGTGTGAAGTCATATCCCACATGCCATTGTCATGTAAATGTCTTGCGTGTTGAGAAAATGGTCTGTTTGCCTACAGAGTGTGTTTGCCCATCTAGTATGTTGTGACTTGCCTGGGTCAAATAAAAGTTCTAATAAAGTTCTAATAAAATAAAATGTAATTGTATTTGTGACATGCGCCGTATACAACAGGTGTAGACTTTACAGTGAAAAGCTTACTTACAAGCCCTTTCCCAACAATGCTGAGTTAAAAAGTATGAACATTTTTCAAAAAATAAAAAAGGAAATAGTAAAATAATAAAGTAATGGGACTACATACAAGGAGTACCGGTACTGAGTCAACAAGGTGCAGAGGTACAAGGTGGTACAGGTAATTGAAGTAATATGTACACGTAGATCAGGGCTTGTCATCGTGGTTTGCCCCAGGTGGAATGCGGTGCCGATGCCACAGGATGGTCTGGCAGAACCAGTTCACTGGTAATCTGCTATGGAGGGGTGCCTCCCCTTGTTTTCAACCCAAACCTTCAATTCAGAAAACGTTTATGTCCTCAATGAGCCAATTCATTTTTGCAGCAATCACAATACTACATACAGTACATACAAAAAACACATATTTTTAAACAACATAAGAATAGCAAAGGGTATTTACAGTCAAGTAGGATGAATAAGTGTCTCTACTGATCCTCGGCTCAGCTGTGTGTGTACTGCTTTATTCCCACGAAGGAACATTTCTCAGCCTTTATCCAAAGTTCCCATGTCATGGTATTAAAGGATGTGGTGACTTTTCCATTTTTTCCCCATCTCTGTTCCACTGCTGTCCATAAAAGGAGCCCATCGTTGTCTGTTTACCACAGAAACATAAATATTACAAATATCTTGGTTTTACTAATTTGGCAAGAATGTCTCTTCTCTGTTGCTTCCAGTAATATAACTCCAGTTTGTGTCCCCTGTAGCCAACAGTAAGAAAGTGAGCTGGTTGCTGGGCAGGGATGGAGATGTGGCCGTCATGGTGATCGGAGAGGTGGATGAGCTGAAGACCTCCAAACTCCTCTGCACTGGGCCTGTGGAGAGAAGAGCACCACCAAGCCTGCACAATAACACACGGTACGGACACCTCAGCACCACAAGCAGGGATTTTATCTGCAGTTCTGTGGAGTTGTGATAGTAGATAGTAGATATCACATTGAGTGAGAGGTTCGTTTTTGAGTTTCACATTTTCTATCATCCCTGTCCTTGTCTGGTCCTGTCTGGTCCTGTCTGGTCCTGTCTGCTCCTGTCTGGTCCTGTCTGGTCCTGTCTGGTCCTGTCTGCTCCTGTCTTGTCCTGTCTGGTCCTGTCTGCTCCTGTCTGCTCCTGTCTGGTCCTGTCTGCTCCTGTCTGGTCCTGTCTGCTCCTGTCTGCTCCTGTCTGGTCCTGGTCCTGCTGCTCCTGTCTGCTCCTGTCTGCTCCTGTCTGGTCCTGTCTGCTCCTGTCTGGTCCTGTCTGCTCCTGTCTGGTCCTGTCTGCTCCTGTCTGCTCCTGTCTGGTCCTGTCTGCTCCTGTCTGGTCCTGTCTGCTCCTGTCTGCTCCTGTCTGCTCCTGTCTGCTCCTGTCTGCTCCTGTCTGCAGCCACCAGACAACCTCCCTGAAGAGCAACCTGGTAAACAGACCAGCCTCAGAAACTATCAGAACTCAGAGAGAGGATCTGCCTCCCAAAACACAGCCAGGGATACAGCTCAATTTAAAGGTGAGTGTGTGTGTGTGTGTGTGTGTGTGTGTGTGTGTGTGTGGAGGTGACCTTCCTGTTGCTGTCATTAATCTCGGGCATAGCCGAGGGCCAGTGAGACGCACGTTCTCCAGGGAGAGTCATCGCTCAGTGGCCAAATAAATCACACCTAGCTCTCCCTCTCCAGACTCTTCCATCACTCCATCCATCCCTCCCTCTCTTTTTCCCTTTACTCTCCATTATTGCCTTCAACAACAGCAAAGACCCCTCTCCCTTGATCTTCTCTTTCCAACTCAACCACATCCTATCATCCTTTCAATCCTCCTCTCTTTCCTCCCTCTATCCTTTCCTTTCCATTCTCTCCACTTTCTTTGTCCAGTTCCTGTCATTCCTCCAGTTCCTGTCATTCCTCCAGTTCCTGTCATTCCTCTTCATGTGCATTCCTGTCGAGAGTTGCATGTGCATCGTACACAGTCCTGTGCAATCCTGTTCAACCTCTCCTCTCTCCGCTTCTCTCTCTCTCTCTCTTTCTCTCTCTCTCGCTATGCATCTCTGTCTCTGCTCATCTCAGCTACTCTCTGCTCTCTCTCTCTCCTGACTCCGCGCTCTCTCTCCTCTTCTCTTCTATCTCTCTCTTCTCTCTCTCTCTTCTCATCATCTCTCTCTACTTGGTGGCTCTCTTCTCTCTCTGCTCCGTTCTCTCTCTCTCTGTGTGTTTCCCACCATCTGTGAGTCATTAGTGTGTGTATGCGCCAATTTATATGTATAAATTAAGTGTTTTAATTAAGTGTGTAGGAGTTGGAGTGATTTTGTTTATTTTGTGTTATAGTGAACCCTACATATTTGAAATTGAGAAGCATGGTTATCACATGTATTGTGTATGAGTGTGTATGAGTGTGTGGGGGGGGGGTGGGTGTTGTGGATGAGGGGGGGTAACTCTATTTTCATGTTATCTTAAAAAGAGGGAGAAGATTGATTTGCTGTGTTGTCATGGCAACCCTATGCACATAGCAAGTGCGAGCCAGGGTGGACACTGTCTCGCCTGCCCATGATCCTCCACTCTGTAGAGCACAGTATTGACCACGATCCTCCACTCTAAGCACAGCATTGACCACTCAGATGTGGCTCCTCCCACGGCTGGTACTGCAAACATAAATTCACAAATGTTTATGTACTGAACAAAAATATAAACTCAACAATTTCAAAGATTTTACTGAGTTACAGTTCATATAAAGAAATCAGTCAATTGAAATAAATTAATTAGGCCCTAATCTATGGATTTCACATGACTTGGAATACAGATATGCATCTGTTGGTCACAGATACCTTTAAAAAAAAGTAGGGTCGTGGATCAGAAAACCAGTCAGTATCTGCTGTGACCACCATTTGCCTCATGCAGCGTGACACATTTCCTTCGCATAGAGTTGATCAGGCTGTTGATTGTGGCCTGTGGAATGTTGTGCCCTCCTCTTCAATGGCTGTGTAAAGTTGCTGGATATTGGCGGGAACTGGAACACACTGTTGTTCACGTCGACCCAGAGCATCCCGAACATGCTCAATGGGTGACACGTCTGGTGAGTATGCAGGCCATGGAAGAACTGGGACATTTTCAGCTTCCAGGAATTGTGTACAGATCCTTGTGACATGGGGCCATGTATTATCATGCTGAAACATGACGTGATGGCGTTGGATGAATGGCACGACAATGGGCCTCAGGGTCTCGTCATGGTATTTCTCTGCATTCAAATTGCCATCAATAAAATGCAATTGTGTTCATTGTCCGTAGTTTATGCCTGCCCATACCATAACCCCACCGCCACCAGGGGTCACTCTGTTCACAACGTTGACGTCAGCAAACCACTCTCCCACAAGACGCCATACACGTGGTCTGCGGTTGTGAGGCTGATTAGACGTACTGACAAATTCTATAAAACAATGTTGGAGGTGGCTTATGGTAGAGAAATTAACATTAAATTATCTGGCAACAGAGCTGGTGGACATTCCTGCAGTCAGCATGCCAATAGCGCTCTCCCTCAAAACTTGAGACATCTGTGGCATTGTGTTGTGTGACAAAACTGCACATTTTAGAATGGCCTTTTATTATCCCCAGCACAAGGTGCACCTGGGTAATAATGATAATGCTGTTTAATCAGCTTCCTGATATGCCACACCTGTCAGGTGGATGGATCATCTTGGCAAAGGAGAAATGCTCACTAACAGGGATGTGCACAACATTTTTGAGAAATAAGCTTTTTGGGCATATGGAACATTTCTGGGATCTTTTATTTCAGCTCATGAAACATGGGACCAACACTTTACATGTTGCGTTTATATTTTTGTTCTGTGTATAATAGTCTGAATAAGCACATAAGAAATGAATATGCCTTGTGGTCTTCAGTGTGCTTAAATTTTTTCTAAGTAAGAATACTTGATCAAAAAAATTGCACACAGCTAGTAGGTTCTTGTCAGAGAATGTAAAGTGTGTTTTGAATCTGTCAGCTCAACTGACATGTTCCTGCTTTTCCAACAGGAGAACAGTGAGGAAGTGAGGACATTGCCCCCTCTACAGGTATGTTTGTGTACTGCACGTCACTGTCTGTATTACATTTACATTTTAGTCATTTAGCAGACGCTCTTATCCAGAGCGACTTACAGTTAGTGAGTGCATACATTTTCATACTGTATGTCTGGGCTCTCTCTCTGTAATGCCTATGTTTGTGTGTTTAACCCACAGGTGGCAGGGAGTGAGCAGCAGCCACCTGCAGCAGTGGAAAAAGTAAGTATTATAACGGATTTCTGAGTTTGGGTTCTGTAAAGGGTTTGTGCATTATTATATGTACATTATGAGGGCATTTGTTTTTTGTAAAGGAAGATATGCAGCAATATACTAGTGTGGTATTACTACACTGGTTTACCTGTTATGTTGATTGCATAAAAATATATGCTACATCCATTAAACACAAAGTTAAAGGGCCAATCCAGAGTTCAATAACAAAGCTGACACTCCACCACTTGTTTTAGTAAACAGCTGAGGGATGGGGCTTGAGAAATAGAACCACTCTCAAATTCATAGACAGAGCTGTGGATGCAAGGACTGACCATCCATGATATCAAAATTGTAGTTTGAACCATGTTTCGAGGCTATACAGTGTTTGTTTACAATAGATTTACTTTGTTTACAAACATTGGAGTAAAACTAGCTTATATTTTGGGTTCCAACAGAAAAAAAAATAATAATACATTGTATGGTCACAGGTGCAGTGAAATGTGTTGTTTTTACAGGGTGATAGGAGGCATTTATATGTTATATTCTTAAATAATAGTCAAAAAGTCCAAAAATTGCTGTTGCAACTGCAGATTGCCCCTTTAAGGTATAACGCTATGCACAGTTTCTGAGTAAGAGGTTGGGTTAGTGCCTGGTGTTGGGAGAGAAGGTCATTTTATTGTCATTTCCTGAACAGCGATAATGATATCATCTGTGGCATACAATCAAGTGTCATGTAAACAACGACAGGAAAGCACAATGTTAAGCTTCTATTATTCCTGGCCAGGTATGAGGTTGAGAAAGTAACACATTATGGGTGGCAGGTAGCCTAGCAGTTAGAGCATTGGGCCAGTAACCAAAAGGTCACTGGTTCAAATCCCTGAGTCGACAAGGTGAAAAATCTGTTGATGTGCCCTTGAGCAAAGCACTTAAATCTAATTTGTTCTAGGGGCAAGGTACTACTATGACTGACCCTGTAAAACAGCACCTGTATGTGACAATACACACAGATATTGTAAGTCGCTCTGGATAAGAGCATCTGCTAAATGTAAAAAATATTAATGGTTAGAATTTGAAACACTTCCACATTGCTTCTGGACAGTGGCACCCACTCTCTCTCCCTTTTGTGCAGCCTCTCTCCAGGTCCTCTTTCTCCCAGCTGTCTCTCCTTTCTCGCTCCTCTCTTTCTTCTCTCTCTCTGTTCCAGCCGTGCATGGCCTTGCCGCCTCACCCCTCCTACCTCTTTCTCTGTCTGAGCTGTGGTAGCCCTCCAGTATGTCTGTCATCACTCTCTACCACAGGCTGCAATGGGACTGGGGTGGGACTGGGGAGAGGAGGTTTCTGGGGGATTGTTTCGTCTTGTGTTCTTTTGATTGTGCTTGCGTGCATGTATGTGTATATATGTGTGTGTGTGTGTGTGTGTGTGTGTGTGTGAGTGTGTGTGCACGTGCCTGTGTGTGTGTGTGTGTGTGTGTGTGTAAGAGGAGCACACACACTCCCCTGGAGCAGATGGTTATTAAACTTGATCAGGGAATTGAAACACCAGAGACAAGGAGTGCGTCAGTCACAGATGGATGGGATTGTAGGATTGTCTCCTGAGGTTTGGGAGCTCTCCTTTCCTTTCCTCTCTTCTCCTAATGCAGCCGAGCCAAACCGCAGGAGAAAACTCTCCCTCTATCACTTCCTCCATCCTTACCCAAGACACATCACAAACATGCCACTGCACATCTCTGCCCAACCCATGTCAATATCCCAATGCACAACCCCACCCTTTTATTACATCTGATTGGTCTGAGAGACAGAGATTCTATGTTTTAACAAATGGTTTGTTTTGTAGAATTCAGGTTGTCAATTGTAACTGCACAAATAGCTTAGTGACGCAGACGTCTGGCAGGGGTATTTGCGGCTGATAGTTGTTTGTGAGATCGGGAGAGGGGACTGATTTGGTGCTTCTGATGTAGTTGTATTTGGTGCTGCTGCTAGAGTGGAGGGTCTTAAGCTGTCGATAAGAAAGGGAGTATGAGAGAGAGGGAGGGCGAGAGAGAGGGAGGACGAGAGAGGGAGGACGAGAGAGAGGGAGGAGTACGAGAGAGAGGGAGGGCGAGAGAGAGGGAGGACGAGAGAGGGAGGACGAGAGAGAGGGAGGACGAGAGAGGGAGGACGAGAGAGAGGGAGGAGGGCGAGAGAGAGGGAGGACGAGAGAGAGGGTGGACGAGAGAGAGGGAAGGCGAGAGAGAGGGAGGAGTATGAGAGAGAGGGAGGAGTATGAGAGAGAGGGAGAGTAGCGGAAGGGGGGCGAGAGAGAGGGGGAGGAGAGAGGGAGGACAGAGAGAGGGAGGATTGGAGGAGGAGGATATGAGGGGGGGAGAGTAGAGAGAGAGGGAGGAGTATGAAGAGAGGAGGAGTATGCGGAGAGGGAGGGCGAGAGGAGAGAGGGAGGAGAGAGAGAGGAGACAAGAGAGAGGGGGAGTATGAGAAGAGGGAGGCGAGAGGAGGGAGGACGAGAGAGAGGGAGGAGTATGAGAGAGAGGGAGGACGAGAGAGGGAGGACGAGAGAAGAGGAGAGGGGGCAGAGCGAGGGGGGACGGAGAGAGAGGGGAGGACGAGAGAGAGGGAGGGACGAGAGAGAGGGAGGAGAGGACGAGAGAGAGAGGAGAGGCGAAAGAGAGAGAGGGGGACTGAGAGAGAGGGAGAGGCGAGAGCGTGAGAGAGGAGGGCGAGAGAGGGAGAGGAGGGAGGGGGAGAGAGGAGAGGCGAGAGAGAGGGAGGACGAGAGAGAGAGGCGAGGGGTCGAGAGAGTGGAGGGAAGAGGAGAGGGACGAGAGAGGGAGAGAAGACGCGAGAGCGGAGGGAGGACGAGAGAGAGGAGGAGAGAGCGAGAGAGAGGGAGGGGAGAGAGAGAGGGAGGGATGCGGAGGAGGGGGGCGAGAGAGAGGGAGGAGAGCGAGAGGGAGGACGAAGAGAGGGGAGGGGGAGGTGATAGACGAGGGCGGAGAGATGAGGGGACGAGAGGGGAGGCGAGAGACGAGTCCGAGAAGAGGAGGCGGAACGAGAAGGGGGAGTTTTCCACGAGGGGGGGGGGGGGAGACACCTTGAGATTGTTGATTAGGAGGACAGAGGATTATGGCAAAGAGGTCGAATAATGAAGGATTCAATTTGGGTGGAGTGTAATGTCACTGTATATGTACTGGAAGCATTCCATCAAACCTTTCTATAACATAAAGACATTTGGTTCAGGTAGAAGAAGTGTTATAGATAAAATTATGCATATGAATCTGACTGTTCTTTCCTGTTCCCCCAGCAGGCTGAGTTGAAGCAGGATGTAGAAGTAGATGCTCCACAGGAAAAGCCAGTCCTCCTGTCCTACAGACCTCATCCCAGAGCTGGCCCTTCCAACCTGAGGCTGGGTACCACACTGTCCTCTATCCCCAAGAGCATCACCATCACCCCATCTCCTGTACCCAGCTCCACTCCATCCCCTGTCCCCACTGTCACACAGTCTCCTGTCCCCAAGACCAATACCCCTGTCCCTACCATAACACAGTTTTCTGTCCCCAAAATCATCACACCGTCCACTGTCCCTAGCATCATAACACCATCCCCTGTAACCAACAGTGTCACACCGTCTCCTGTCCCCATCAGTGTCACACCTTCTCCTGTCCCCAGCAGTAATGCCATCAGAGATGCTCTAGAAAAGGGCACTGCCAAAGCACATGCCACAGAGAAGACCATCACACAGTCCCCTGTTCCTAGTCCCATCACACTGTCCCCTGTTCCTAGTCCCATCACACAGTCCCCTGTTCCTAGTCCCATCACACTGTCCCCTGTCCCTAGTCCCATCACACTGTCCCCTGTACCTAGTCCCATCACACTGTCCCCTGTTCCTAGTCCCATCACACTGTCCCCTGTCCCTAGCCCCATCGTACTGTCCCCTGTCCCTAGCCCCATCACACTGTCCCCTGTCCCTAGCCCCATCACACTGTCCCCTGTCCCCAGCTCCACTCCGTCCCCTGTCCCAAGCTCCACTCTGTCCCCTGTCCCAAGCTCCACTCGGTCCCCTGTCCCAAGCTCCACTCGGCCCCCTGTCCCCAGTACCACCTGGTCCCCTGTCCCCAGTACCACCTGGTCCCCTGTCCCCAGTACCACCCGGTCCCCTGTCCCCAGTACCACCCGGTCCCCTGTCCCCAGTACCACTCGGTCCCCTGTCCCCAGCTCCACTCGGTCCCCTGTCCCCAGCTCCACTCTGTCCCCTGTCCCAAGCTCCACTCGGTCCCCTGTCCCCAGTACCACTCGGTCTCCTGTCTCTAGCATCTATACACCGTCCCCTTTCTACAGGACCATCACTCCATCCCCTGTGGTTAGCAGCACGGCCATAAGAGAAGCTCTGAAGAAGAGCACCGCCAAAACACGTGCTCCAGAGAAGACCACTGTCACTCCGCTGTCCGTTACAACCAGACCCCACCCCCAGGAGCCAGCTGAGCCCCACCCCCAGGAGACGCCCAGCAGCAGAGGTAAAATAGTAGAGCAGCATGGGAGATTGAGTCCCCATCACATTACAATGCTGAGCTGAATATATTGAGATTATTGTGAATGATTATTGTGGGAGAAACAGATTCTGGCCACAGAATCCAGAAGCATGTAGACACCAGGGCACCTGCACATTTTTAACACAATGTTAATTAAGTTATGACAGGCAGTTCTCTTCCCTGCCACCTGGGGGCTATGTGAGAAGGATTATCTGACTTTGAAGCACTTTCACCTGGTGTGTTGTTATAATGGACAGTTCATGGTTCTGCTTCAGACCCCTTCAGTGTAGGTTAGGTTCTTACTGTGGTTAGCGAGCGGGATTTTTTTCCCCAGCCCAGCCCAGTGTCCTAGCCAATCACTGCCTCAGCCCACTGGAATCTTTATGAACTGGCAGACTAAAAGCAGGCCAGCCTTAGGGGGATGAAACCAGTTTGACTGTGATTGTGTCATGGTCACACATCCGCTCGTCTCTCTCTCTCTCTCTCTCTCTCTCTCTCTATCTCCTCTCTTATCTTTCTTCTCTCTCTTCTCTCTCGGTCTTCACGTATCTATTCTCTCTTGCTATCTCTCTTCCTTCTCTCGTCTCCCCTCAACTCTCTCTGTATCCTCTCTCCCCCCTCTCTCTCTTCCTCATCTCTTTAGTCGTACCATCCATCCCTCTCTTGTCTCTCTCTCTCTCCCCCCTCTCGCTCTCTGTCTCTCTTTCTCGCTCTCTCTCTGTCTCCCTTTCTCTCCCTCTCTCTCTGTCTGTCTCTCTCTCTCCCCCCTCTCTCTGTCTCTCTCTCTCTCTCCCTCTCTCTCTCTTTCTCACTCCCCCGCTCTCTGTCTCTCTTTCTCGCTCTCTCTGGGAAATCTCTCTCCCCTTCCTATGTCTCATTGTCTGTAGTTCTCCACAGTCCCTGTAACATGACTTGTATCAGTGTATGATTGTGATTAGATATCTTACGTCTCTGACCCTCACATATAGTTTTCATGGCTTTGCCCTTGTAGTTGATTGCTTTGTGGCAGCTTATCTATTTTTCTTGTTGCAAGAAATGAGTTCATTTGGCCTCCCCTTTTCCATAGAATTCCTCAGTATCTTAGGTTGTCTAGTTTTCCCTAACTGTCTAATATTAGGAGTGAGTTTAGTGTCAGTCTAATTAGCAGTGTTTGGACCGTGTTCCTCTAGCTGATCAGGATAGGCTGGTGGTTTTGATCAGAGGCCCACATCCCTGCTCAACAGACAAGTGGCCTAGTTCACAAACCAGAGCGACAGACAGGGAGCTAGACCAGCACCACCCAGTGGACGACTGATCACACTGCAGTCAGTCCTCTACCAGAGTTAGTAGGAACAACATTTCTACCTCTATAGTCTCCCCTGGCTGGATATATACTAACCTTACAACGAGGTGAAGAATTGTGTTTTTTTGTCTTGGCTGAGGTACCTGTAATTCAGGTAGAACGTATAGAGACCGTTCAAGTCAACATGTAGAGGCCTTATGCATAGCAGCGGGAAGTAGTTTGGGGGTTGGGGTGCTAACATGGGGGGGGGTGCAGAAAAATGTCCCATGCTGAAGACGTCTATATCGGCCTGCTAATACAGGACTAGTAAATGCCAAGTGCACTACTTTTGTAAGAGAAAAAATAACTAAAGGTATTTCAGTATTTACCAGCATTTGTAACTTGAGTCTGATAATTATCTGAACAAAACAGTTAATCTGATAATACTTGTGGAATATAAAAATACTTACTTGATATATGTTTTCCAGTTTCTTGAAATACTTTGCAAATGCAACATATTTCTATGTGAAAACTTCTTACAGGTTTTGGTTTTTCCATTTATGTTTTGAGGTTAGACTTTAGCATGAATAGACTCTTTGCATGAATAGCGACATTTTTTGTTTTTTTGCTGGGTATCGTAACAAAAAGTGGGCTCATCCGGGATATAGTCTCCCATGAGTATGGTAGTCGCTCTAATCACCTACTCTGAAGCTCTGCTGTGCCCATATATTTCATTCGTATAATGTGGAACTCAAGACTGATCTAATTTCTGTCTCCATTGTCGTTGGAGTGAAGGGGGTCTCATTCATTTTGGGAAACGATTTGGCTGGAGGGAAGGTCGTGCAAAATCCTGTCGTTTGTAAGGAACCCAGAGTAGAGGAACCTGATGGGTTATCAGAAAAGTGCCCTAGAGTGTTCCCAGCATGTGCTGTTACACATGCTATGTCTAAGAAAGTCGCCTGTAGCAAGTCTAGTGTTGAGAAGGATGTCCGCGATCCCACCATGGTCGGTCTGTCTGAGACATTTATGGGTGATCCTGATATTCGCTAAACCTGAGTTGACCTCTCCTTTGAAAACCCCAAAGGTGAGCGAGTTTGTAGGACCCGCTGAAGGAAAAGAGGGTCCCTACAGTTGACACTTCGATGTCTAAGAAGCAGCTGATTGCGGAACAGAGTAAAGATGTTTCCCTCTCCCCTCTCTTTGCTGAGATACATCCAGAGGAGGAGTTTGATGAAGTTTGTGTGGGTTACTTTGACAGAGATGGTGTTCTAATGAGGAAATGGCGTTCTCGCGCCACTTCTGGGCAAGACGATTGGCCCAGTGTATCTCAAATTGTCGTTCCAGTTATGTTTCGACAACAGATATTGAGGTTGGCTTACAATGGTAGTATGGCAGGCCATTTTGGGGTCAACAAGACGTATGACCGTATCTTGCGTAACTTCTTCTGGCCTGATCTGAAATAGGATGTTGTGTCTTACTGTAAATCTTGTCGCGTTTGCCAGCAGTTTACCTGTTGCACCTTTTTAGCCTATTCCTGCTTTTGACTAACCTTTCAGCAGGGTTCTGGTGGACTGTGTTGGTCCTTTGCCCAAAGCGAAGATTGTTCACCAGTTTCTCTTAACCATCATGTGTGCTGCCAGTCATTTCCCTGAGGCCATTCCACTGAGGAAAATCACAGCTCAGAGTATTGTTAAGGCCTTGTTATTGTTAAGAAATTATTTTCAACGTTTGGACTTCCGCAGGTAGTGCAGTCGGACCAAGGTTCAAATTTCATGTCAAAGGTCTTCCAGCAAGTGCTAAAACAGTTGGGTGTAACTCATTGCCCCTCTAGTACCTACCACCCAGAGTCTCAAGGTGCTCTTGAGAGATTTCATCAGACTTTGAAGTCTATGTTAAGAGTTTACTGCTTTGAGTTTGAGGAACACTGGGATGAAGGGGTCTTGTGCTGTTTGCAGCTCGGGAGGTTGATAAGGAATCCCTGTTTTAGTCCGAATGAACTCATGTTTGGACATCAACTTAGAGGTCCTTTGTGTTTTCTAAGAGAGAGGTTGTTGCAGGGTGAGACCTTTTAAAAACAAAAACAAATCTGGTGAAGCACGTTGGCACTTATTTTATTTTTTTACAGATTGCACCGCGCCTGTGAGTTTGCCAGTGAGAATCTGAAGAAGGCGCAAACGAAAATGAAAGTTTGGTACGATCGAAAGGCCTGAAACCGCACTTTTGATGTGGGTGACCAAGTCCTGGTATCGTTGCCCGTTCTTGGTTGACCGTTGCAGGCTCGCTTTTCAGGCCGTTTCCCGATAGTGAAAAAAATTGGTAATCTAGATTACATCATCGCCACACCTTAGCGCAGGAGAAAAACCAAGCTGTGTCATGTCAATATGTTAAAACCATACTTCACCTGCTACAATCGGGCAGCGAAGTTGGTGTAAACTGGTAGTGACGTTCTGCCTGTAGCCGCTGCTGTCACCATTGACTATAGTCATGAGGAAATCCCAATACACCCTGTGCCGGTTGGATGGTTGAGTAACTCAGAGATTCTAGAAAACCTTTATGTATTTTTGGCACACTTGTCTCTGGAGGAAAAAGGCGACATTGTTGCACATTATCATGGTTTATTCTCGGACGTGCCAACGCAGACAAATGTACTAGAGCATGACATTGACGTTGGGGACTCTGCCCCAATCAAACAAATTCTACTGAGGAAAATCACAAGAGGAAAGTTACTACGGATATTGCAGGAGTTTCCCCTTGAAATCATACATGTCCGTGGTAAGGACATCTTGGTTGCTGATTGTCTCTCAAGGGTGGGCATTCAATAAGTTTTGCGTTTAGCCCGTGTTTTTTTCCTTATTGGAGATGAGTATTGTTTTGGTTGGGCTCGTTCCAAGGGGACGAGAGTTATCGAAGCGTACGTGAGTTTTTCAAAACTTGGGAGCTTTAGGCAATTATAGAAAAAATAAATAATAATAATATATATACATATATTTACAAAATATAAAAGTGTGTTTTTTCTTATTTAATTGTTGACAGCCATTAAACACCATGTTTTTCCATTGGAGAAGGTGACGCATTTAAGTAGCGACGTATTTAAGTTGTTGGTGTTGTTTTCTGTTGGTGGTCAGCAAACTTGTCCAACAAAAATATAGGATATATTTGTTGTCTTAAGGGGGAAGGTGTTACAGGTTTTGGTTTTTCAATTTATGTTTTGAGGTTGGACTTTAGCACGTATAGCTCGTTAGCACGTAGGGCGCACCAATTGGTGTCACCTCATTAGTCAGTATGTGTTACACCTGTGCTGGTTGCCTTCTCGTTAGTGGGAAGGTGTTTCACCTGTGCTGGCCCAGGTGCTATTTAAGAGTGGTTGGCCCAGTGCTCCAGTTGTCTTGATAGATGCGGAGGGTTAACACCTTTAGTTGTCTTGATAGATGCGGAGGGTTCACACCTTTAGTTGTCTTGATAGATGCGGAGGGTTAACTCCTTTAGTGTTGATAGAGCGGAGTGGTTAACACCTTTAGTTGTCTTGATAGATCGGAGGTTGCACCAACCCTTTAGTTGTCTTGATAGATGCGGAGTGTTAACACCTTTAGTTGTCTTGATAGATGCGGAGGGTTAACTCCCTTAGTTGTCTTGATAGATGTGGAGGGTTAACACCTTTAGTTGTCTTGATAGATGCGGAGGGTTAACACCTTTAGTTGTCTTGATAGATGCGGAGGGTTAACACCTGTAGTTGTTTGATAGATGGGCGGGGTTAACACCTTTAGTTGTCTTGATAGATGCGGAGGGTTAACACCTGTAGTTGTCTTGATAGATGCGGAGGGTTAACCTGTAGTTGTCTTGATAGATGCGGAGGGTTAACATCTGTAGTTGTCTTGATAGATGCGGCGGGTTAACACCTTTAGTTGTCTTGATAGATGCGGAGGGTTAACACCTTTAGTTGTCTTGATAGATGCGGAGGGTTAACACCTTTAGTTGTCTTGATAGATGCGGAGGGTTAACACCTTTAGTTGTCTTGATAGATGCGGAGGGTTAACACCTTTAGTTGTCTTGATAGATGCGGCGGGTTAACACTGTAGTTGTCTTGATAGATGGGGGGTTAAGACCCTTTAGTTGTCTTGATAGATGCGGAGGGTTAACACCTTTAGTTGTCTTGATAGATGCGGAGGGTTAACACCTGTAGTTGTCTTGATAGATGCGGAGGGTTAACATCTGTAGTTGTCTTGATAGATGCGGCGGGTTAACACCTTTAGTTGTCTTGATAGATGCGGAGGGTTAACACCTGTAGTTGTCTTGATAGATGCGGAGGGTTAACACCTGTAGTTGTCTTGATAGATGCGGAGGGTTAACATCTGTAGTTGTCTTGATAGATGCGGAGGGTTAACACCTTTAGTTGTCTTGATAGATGCGGAGGGTTAACACCTGTAGTTGTCTTGATAGATGGGGCGGGTTAACACCTTTAGTTGTCTTGATAGATGCGGAGGGTTAACACCTTTAGTTGTCTTGATAGATGCGGAGGGTTAACACCTTTAGTTGTCTTGATAGATGCGGCGGGTTAACACCTGTAGTTGTCTTGATAGATGGGGCGGGTTAAGACCTTTAGTTGTCTTGATAGATGCGGAGGGTTAACACCTTTAGTTGTCTTGATAGATGCGGAGGGTTAACACCTGTAGTTGTCTTGATAGATGCGGAGGGTTAACACCTGTAGTTGTCTTGATAGATGCGGAGGGTTAACATCTGTAGTTGTCTTGATAGATGCGGCGGGTTAACACCTTTAGTTGTCTTGATAGATGCGGAGGGTTAACACCTTTAGTTGTCTTGATAGATGCGGAGGGTTAACACCTTTAGTTGGCACTCCCTATTTTGATTTCTAGACATACCTTTTTCTGATTTAGTTTTGCTCAACTTTTTGGTGTGCTTCCTGTCTTTAAGTTTGTTGTGGGATTTTATTTTGTTTGCCTCTTATTGGGCAAATTTAGTGGGCGCTCATGGTCGGTGTCTTTTAGGTCCCAGTTGTTGTTGCTATGCAACTTTCAGTGGACACCCCCATGCGTGTCTTTTAGAACCCCTCCTAAAACCCCACCTGTTTTGTTTAGTTGTTGTCATTGACCCTTTGTTAGTTCCCCCTTCTGTTTGAGTGACATTTTTGGTTTTCTTGCTGGGGAACGTAGCAAACTGAAATGGTCTATAGATAATTTTTCCATTTTAGTAAATGCTTTTATCCAGAACAACTTACAGCAGTGAGTGCATATATTTTCGTACTGGTCCCCCGTGGGAATGATTAACACTCAACACAACAAAAAACCCTAGAGTATTTAAATTGTAGTAAATTTGACTAAATTACTAACTTCAAATGTACCAAGTATAATATATTATACTTATAAATATTATCGACATAAAAATAAAACAGTCATCCAAAATGTGACTAGAGGACAATATTCAAAAAGTATTTCAAAACCCACACAAGGTAGGCTATTTGACTTACAACGATTCTTACTTATGTAAAAATGCAAACAACTATTCAGAGACTATTTCAAAATGTATGTAACCTCTCTCAATAAGATGCAGTACAGACCAGGCCTGACACAAAATGTAGAAGTAGTAGCCTACTTTGACAATTCAGTGAATGCAACAAGTATTAGATAGAGACAGATAGAGAGAGAAGACACAAAACACAACTGTTCCACAGACCAAAGATTTGTAGGACAAATTCAAATTTCACACTGTCACTTCAGTGTTTGCAGTTAGCCTACAACATGTCATAGAACCCCTGCCATTGTCACTTTAGGCCCAGGCTGTGTGGTACAAGGGTGAATGGTGGGACTTAGGGCAGACACGCCATGGAAACGTTGGCTCCCCTCTCGGGTGTGCTCTCCCTCTTCATCCTCTCCCTCCTCTTCCTCCTCCTCTCACTCTCCCCATGTTCTGCTCCCTCCACTTTTTTCTCCCTCTTCCTCTCTCACTCCTCTTCCTCTCTCCCTCCACTCTCCTCTCACTCCACTCCACATCTCTATACCTCCAATCAGCTCTAACTCCTCTTCCTCCCTGCATTTTGCTGCTAAGCCCTAACTCTCCACATCACTTCCTTTGCTTTCACTGACCTAGAGGATCAGAGTAACAGAGGGAGAGGAGATGAGCAACAAATAGGATCCAATTGTGGTCAGGAACATAATCTCTCTCTCACTATCTCTTCCTTCCTCTCTTTCTACTTCTCAACTATACACACACTCTTTTCCTAATAAGGGGTTTCCATAATAAATTGTGTGATACAGTTACACGCCTCCCAATTCCACACACACATACTCTCTCTCTCCTCCAATCAACTCTTGCTTTATTGCCTGACAGACTAACTACAGAGTTTGCCAATGTTAGCTGATTAGTTACGAAGCTGGGACAGTTTCCAAATGAATTGCATCAGTAGAAACAGGACAAAACAAGCAATGTAAACAAATATCCAACTCATATGAGCTCCACTGCGTGGGCATCTACTACCCTAACATGATAGCTAAGCTGTCAAATAATAGGAAAACGAGGCTATGAATATCTGCACCTAGCAAACACGACAAACATTAACCTAAGCCCAACAGATAAACACAAATTACTCTAGCCTTCATTTCGGTGGCTAGGTACAGTGCATTCGGAAAGTATTCAGACCCCTTGCCTTTTCCAGATTCTGTTACGGTACAGCCTTATTCTAAAATTGATTTAAAAAAGAATAATCCTCAGCAATCTACACACAATACCCCATAATGTCAAAGAGAAAACACGTTTTTAGAAATGTTTGCAAATGTATTACACATAAAAAACAGATACCCTATTTACATAAGTATTCAGACCTTTTGCTATGAGACTCAAAATTGAGCTCAGGTGCATCCTGTTTCCATTGATCATCCTTGAGATGTTTCTAGAACTTGATTGGAGTCCACCTGTGGTAAATTCAATTGATTGGACATAATTTGGAAAGGCTCACACTGTATAAGGTCCTACAGTTGACAGTGCATGTCAGAGCAATAACCAAGCCATGAGATCGAAGGAATTGTCCATAGAGCTCCGAGACAGGATTGTGTCGAGGCACAGATCTGGGGAATGGTACCAAAAAATTTCTGCAGCATTGAAGGTCCACAAGAACACTGGCCTCCATCATTCTTAAATGGAAGATAATTTGGAACCACCAAGACTCTTCCTAGAGCTGGCCGCCCGGCCAAACTGAGTAATTCGGGGGAGAAGGGCCTTGGTCAGGGAGGTGACCAAGAACTCGATGGTCACTCTGACAGAGCTCCAGAGTTCCTCTGTGGAGATGGTAGAACCTTCCAGAAGGACAAACATCTCTGCAGCACTCCACCAATCAGGCCTTTATGGTAGAGTGACCAGACGGAAGCCACTCCTCAGTAAAAGGCACATGACAGCCCGCTTGGAGTTTGGCAAAAGGCACCCAAAACTCTCAGAAAATGAGAAACAAGATTATCTGCTCTGATGAAACCAAGATTGAACTCTTTGGCCTGAATACCAAGCGTCACGTCTGGAGGAAACCTGGTACCATCCCTACGGTGAAGCATGGTGGTGGCAGCATCATGCTGTGGTGATGTTTTTCAGCGGCAGGGACTGGGAGACTAGTCAGGATAGAGGCAAAGATGAATGGAGCAAATTACAGAGAGATCCTTGATGAAAACCTGCTCCAGAGCGCTCAGGACCACAGACTGGGGCAAAGGTTCACCTTCCAACAGGACAACGACCCTAAGCACACAGCCAAGACAACACAGAAGTAGCTTCGGGACAAGTCTCTGAATGTCCTTGAGTGGCCCAGCCAGAGCACGGACTTGAACCCGATCGAACATCTCTGGAGAGGATAGCTGTGCAGCAACGCTCCCCATTCAACCTGACAGAGCTTGAGAGGATCTGCAGAGAAGAATGGGAGAAACTCCCCAAATACAGGTGTGCCATTACGGAGTGTAATAGTGTTTAATACCATATAGCTAGCCTATTATCATAATTCATTGTGTCATAGCCAAGAAGACTCGATGCTGTAATCGCTGCCAAAGGTGCTTCAAAAACGTACTGAGTAAAGGGTCTGAATACTCATGTAAATGTGATATTTCAGGTTTTTATCTATTTATAAATTAGCAAAAATTTCTACAAACTTGTTTTTGCTTTGTCATCATTATTGTGGGGTATTTCTAACAGTCTTGAAGGAGTTCCGAAATATGCTGAGCACTTGTTGGCTGCTTTTCCATCACTCTGCAGTCCAACTCATCCCAAGCTTCATGGTGGGAACCACACATGCGGAGATCATCCATTCACCTACTCTGCGTCTCACGAAGACACAGCGGTTGGAACCAAAAATCTCAAATTTGGACTGATCAGACCAAAGGACAGATTTCCACAGGTCTAATGTCCATTGCTCGTGTATCTTGGCCCAAGCAAGTATTTTCTTCTTATTGGTGTCCTTTAGTAGTGGTTTCTTTGCAGCAATTCAACCATGAAGGCCTGATTCACGCAGTCTCCTCTGAACAGTTAATGTTGAGATGTGTCAGTTACTTGAGCTCTATGAAGCATTTATTTGGGCTGCAATCTGAGGTGCAGTTAATTGCCGATTTCTGAGGCTGGTAACTCTAATGAACTTATCTTCTGCAGCAGAGGTAACTCTGGGTCTTTCATTCCTGTGGCGGTCCTCATGAGAGCCAGTTTCATCATAGCGCTTGATGGTTTTTGCGACTGCACTTGAAGAAACTTTCAAAGTTCTTGAAATGTTCCATATTGACTGACCTTAATGTCTTAAAGTAATGATGGACTGTCGTTTCTCTTTGCTTATTTGAGCTGTTCTTGCAATAATATGGACTTGGTCTTTTACCAAATAGGGCTATCTTCTGTATACCAACCCTACCTTGTCACAACACAACTGATTGGCTCAAACGCATTAAGAAGGAAAGAAATTAACCTCTCTTGATTACAACCAAATTATGACAAATGTACTATATTACGTATTGGATCACTAAAAAATACAATTTTTACATTACCATGTAGTTTACCAATAAAATGGTCTGATGGTGATGTGGATATACTCGGAATACATATCCCAAAGGAAGTAAATGATCTCACTTCAATACATTTTAATAGAAAGTTAGCAAAAATAGATAAGATCTTACTACCATGGAAAGGAAAATACCTGTCAATTTGTGGAAAAATCACCCTGATTAACTCTTTAGTATTATCCCAGTTTACCTATTTGCTTATAGTCTTGCCTATGCCTTAAATTATATGAGAAAAAAATATTCAATTTTATTTGGAACAGCAAGCCAGACAAAATTAAAAGGGCCTATTTATATAATGAATATGAATTCGGAGGACAGAAATTATTAAATATTAAAGCATTAGACCTATCACTAAAAGCTTCAGTCATACAAAAGTCCGAACTGGTTCTCAAGCAAATTAGTAAGATTGTCTCACCCAATGTTCAAGAAAGGCCTTTTTCCCTTTATTCAGATTACAACAACTCATTTTCAGTTATTTGAAAAGGAAATCATCTCCCAAATATCACTATTTCTAAAACAAGCCATAGAAAGTTGGTTGCAATTTCAATTTAATCCTCCAGAAACGACAGAACAAATAATGCAACAAATATTGTGGTTAAATTCAAATATACTAATTGACAAAAAACCTTTATTTTTTGACAGAATGTTTAAAAAAGGTATAATCTTCGTAAATGATATCATCGGTAGGACTGGTGGAGTTATGTCGCACATGCAGCTAACAAAAACATATGGAAATGTCTGCTCTACCCAAAATTACAACCAAATAATTGCAGCCTTACCTCAAAAGTGGAAGAGGAAAGTGGAAGGGGGAGAAAGTAAGGAACTGGTCTGTCGGCCTTGCATTAAAGAACATAATTGGTTAAGGAAAACTGTGATAAATAAAAAAGTATATCAGTTTCACTTAAGGACCAAAGGATTGACAGCCGTCCCATTTAGATTGCAAAATAGTTGGGAAGAGATTTTTGACGTACCGATCTCATGGCATAGTGTTTATGAACTGACACGCAAAACGACACCGGATTCAAAAATTAGAATCTTTCAATTTAAAATATTATATAAAATTCTTGCTACCAATATAATGTTATTTATATGGGGGATACAATCTTCCCAGCTCTGCAGATTTTGCTGTGAAGAGACAGAATCATTAGATCATTTGTTTTGGTTCTGTCCATTTGTAGCTTGTTTTTGGACACAGGTTCAGGAATGGCTAAAGGATTGCAATATTTACCTGGAGCTAACCTTGCAGATAGCATTACTGGGTGATCTGAAAAGTCATAGTCAATCGATCAATAATATAATAATACTTTTAGCAAAAATGTTTATTTTTAATTCACAATCTGTAGAAGCAATGAGAATAGAAAGGTTCAGAACTTTTGTAAAACATCACAGTACAGTTGAAATATATATGGCAAATAGAAATCCTATATGGATGGTGTTAAGAGATAGATGGGAGGTATTGAATGGAGTTGAAGGATGGGACTAATAACAAATAACAACAAATAATAACAAGATAACTAATAATGTAAGCATACTGTGTCCATAATAAGTATATAGGTTGTATGTTGGGAGCTTTTGGGAAAGAGCACAGTTAGAAAGATATGGCATATAGAAGCAAACCGGATGGACATAATCGGAGAGGTTGAGAGTAGAAGAAGTTCAGGAGCAAAAAAAACAACTAATAAAATATAATTATTGTAAAATTGACTGTGTCCATAAGGTGTAGATAGTAAGTATAGGCTGGAAGTAGAGGCCTGGGCATTGTTGTTCACTAATTTACCCCAAGTAGGGAAAGGATGGCGGGGTTGAAAAGTAATAAAGGGGAGTATATATATAAAAAACATGGGGGATTGGAAGTGATGCAGACAATTACATTGATAGAAGTTACAATCTATCTGCAATATTAAGCTGATCTACCCCCATAAAAAAAAAAGAAGGAAAGAAATTCCACTAATTAACTTTTAAGAAGGCACACCTGTTAATTTAAATGCATTCCAGGTGACTACCTCATGAAGCTGGTTGAGAGAATTCCAAGAGTGTGCAAAGCTGTCATCAAGGCAAATGGTGGCTACTTTGAAGAATCTCAAATATTAAATATATTTTGATTTGTTAAACACCTTTTTGGTTACTACATGATTCCATATGTGTTATTTCATAGTTTTGATGTCTTCACTATTATTCTACAATGTAGAAAATAGTACAAATAAAGAAAAATCCTTGAATGAGTAGGTGTGTCCAAACCTTTGACTGGTACTTTTGACTGGTGTGTGTATATATATATATATATATATATATACATATATACTACCATTCAAAAGTTTTGGGTCACTTAGAAATGTTCTTGTTTAGTTTTTTGTCCATTAATATAACATCAAATTAATCAGAAAAACAGTGTAGACATTGTTAATGTTGTAAATGGCTATTGCAAAAAAAAAGCCATATCTCAGACTGGCCAATAAAAATAAAAGATTGAAATGGGCAGTCTGAGATATGGCTTTTTCTTTGCAACTCTGCCTAGAAGGTCAGCATCCCGGAGTCGCCTCTTCACTGTTGACGTTGAGACTGATGTTTTGCGGGTTTAATCAGCACAACAATTTTCAGCTGTGCTAACATAATTGCAAAAGGGTTTTCTAATGATCAATTATCCTTTTAAAATGATAAACTTGGATTAGCAAACATAACGTGCCATTGGAACACAGAACTGATGGTTGCTGATAATGGGCCTCTGTACGCCTATGTAGATATTCCATTAAAAATCAGCCATTTCCAGCTACAATAGCCATTTACAACATTAACAATGTCTACACTGTATTTCTGATCAATTTGATGTTATTTTAATGGACAAAGAAATTGTTTTTCTTTTGAAAACAAGGACATTTCTAAGTGACCCCAAACTTTTGAACGGTAGTGTATATATATATATTTATATATATATACAGTGGGGGAAAAAAGTATTTAGTCAGCCACCAATTGTGCAAGTTCTCCCACTTAAAAAGATGAGAGAGGCCTGTAATTTTCATCATAGGTACACGTCAACTATGACAGACAAATTGAGAAAAAAAAAGTCCTGAAAAACACATTGTAGGATTTTTTATGAATTTATTTGCAAATTATGGTGGAAAATAAGTATTTGGTCACCTACAAACAAGCAAGATTTCTGGCTCTCACATACCTGTAACTTCTTCTTTAAGAGGCTCCTCTGTCCTCCACTCGTTACCTGTATTAATGGCACCTGTTTGAACTTGTTATCAGTATAAAAGACACCTGTCCACAACCTCAAACAGTCACACTCCAAACTCCACTATGGCCAAGACCAAAGAGCTGTCAAAGGACACCAGAAACAAAATTGTAGACCTGCACCAGGCTGGGAAGACTGAATCTGCAATAGGTAAGCAGCTTGGTTTGAAGAAATCAACTGTGGGAGCAATTATTAGGAAATGGAAGACATACAAGACCACTGATAATCTCCCTCGATCTGGGGCTCCACGCAAGATCTCACCCCGTGGGGTCAAAATGATCACAAGAACGGTGAGCAAAAATCCCAGAACCACATGGGGGGACCTAGTGAATGACCTGCAGAGAGCTGGGACCAAAGTAACAAAGCCTACCATCAGTAACACACTACGCCGCCAGGGACTCAAATCCTGCAGTGCCAGACGTGTCCCCCTGCTTAAGCCAGTACATGTCCAGGCCCGTCTGAAGTTTGCTAGAGTGCATTTGGATGATCCAGAAGAGGATTGGGAGAATGTCATATGGTCAGATGAAACCAAAATATAACTTTTTGGTAAAAACTCAACTCGTCGTGTTTGGAGGACAAAGAATGCTGAGTTGCATCCAAAGAACACCATACCTACTGTGAAGCATGGGGGTGGAAACATCATGCTTTGGGGCTGTTTTTCTGCAAAGGGACCAGGACGACTGATCCGTGTAAAGGAAAGAATGAATGGGGCCATGTATCGTGAGATTTTGAGTGAAAACCTCCTTCCATCAGCAAGGGCATTGAAGATGAAACGTGGCTGGGTCTTTCAGCATGACAATGATCCCAAACACACCGCCCGGGCAACGAAGGAGTGGCTTCGTAAGAAGCATTTCAAGGTCCTGGAGTGGCCTAGCCAGTCTCCAGATCTCAACCCCATAGAAAATCTTTGGAGAGAGTTGAAAGTCTGTGTTGCCCAGCGACAGCCCCAAAACATCACTGCTCTAGAGGAGATCTGCATGGAGGAATGGGCCAAAATACCAGCAACAGTGTGTGAAAACCTTGTGAAGACTTACAGAAAACGTTTGACCTGTGTCATTGCCAACAAAGGGTATATAACAAAGTATTGAGAAACTTTTGTTATTGACCAAATACTTATTTTCCACCATTATTTGCAAATAAATTCATAAAAAATCCTACAATTTTCCTCATTTTGTCTGTCATAGTTGACGTGTACCTATGATGAAAATTACAGGCCTCTCTCATCTTTTTAAGTGGGAGAACTTGCACAATTGGTGGCTGACTAAATACTTTTTTCCCCCACTGTATATGGAACTACTCCAAAGAGAGCTAGGCAAACAGAGAGAGACAGCCATGGTTTCATCGGTGTGTACATTATGTATTTTTTTGGGGTTGTACTTAATATGACTGTGATATGTGGTTGTCCCACCTAGCTATCTTAAGATGAATGCACTAATTGTAAGTCACTCTGGATAAGAGCATCTGCTAAATGACTAAAATGTAAATGTAAAATGTTTGGGGAGTCTCCCATATGCCTTTTGGCGAACACCAAACGTGTTTGCTTATTTTTGTCTTTAATCAATGGCATTTTTTCTGGCCACTCTTCCGTAAAGCCCAGCTCTGTGGAGTGTACGGCTTAAAGTGGTCCTATGGACAGATACTCCAATCTCCGCTGTGGAGCTTTGCAGCTCCTTCAGGGTTATCTTTGGTCTCTTTGTTGCCTCTCTGATTAATGCCCTCCTTGCCTGGTCCGTGAGTTTTGGTGAGTGGCCCTCTCTTGGCAGGTTTGTTGTAGTGCCATATTCTTTCCATTTTTTAATAATGGATTTAATGGTGCTATGTGCAATGTTCAAAGTTTCTGATATTTTTTTATAACCCAACCCTGATCTGTACTTCTCCAAAACTTTGTCCCTGACATGTTTGGAGAGCTCCTTGGTCTTCAAGGTGCCGCTTGCTTGGTGGTGCCCCTTGCTTAGTGGTGTTGCAGACTTTTGTGCCTTTCAGAACAGGTGTATATATACAGTGGGGGAAAAAAGTATTTAGTCAGCCACCAATTGTGCAAGTTCTCCCACTTAAAAAGATGAGAGAGGCCTGTAATTTTCATCATAGGTACACGTCAACTATGACAGACAAAATGAGGAAAAAAAATCCAGAAAATCACATTGTAGGATTTTTAATGAATTTATTTGCAAATGATGGTGGAAAATAAGTATTTGGTCAATAACAAAAGTTTCTCAATACTTTGTTATATACCCTTTGTTGGCAATGATACAGGTCAAACGTTTTCTGTAAGTCTTCACAAGGTTTTCACACACTGTTGCTGGTATTTTGGCCCATTCCTCCATGCAGATCTCCTCTAGAGCAGTGATGTTTTGGGGCTTTCGCTGGGCAACACGGACTTTCAACTCCCTCCAAAGATTTTCTATGGGGTTGAGATCTGGAGACTGGCTAGGCCACTCCAGGACCTTGAAATGCTTCTTACGAAGCCACTCCTTCGTTGCCCGGGCGGTGTGTTTGGGATCATTGTCATGCTGAAAGACCCAGCCACGTTTCATCTTCAATGCCCTTGCTGATGGAAGGAGGTTTTCACTCAAAATCTCACGATACATGGCCCCATTCATTCTTTCCTTTACATGGATCAGTCGTCCTGGTCCCTTTGCAGAAAAACAGCCCCAAAGCATGATGTTTCCACCCCCATGCTTCACAGTAGGTATGGTGTTCTTTGGATGCAACTCAGCATTCTTTGTCCTCCAAACACGACGAGTTGAGTTTTTACCAAAAAGTTATATTTTGGTTTCATCTGACCACATGACATTCTCCCAATCCTCTTCTGGATCATCCAAAAGCACTCTAGAAAACTTCAGACGGGCCTGGACATGTACTGGCTTAAGCAGGGGGACACGTCTGGCACTGCAGGATTTGAGTCCCTGGCGGCGTAGTGTGTTACTGATGGTAGGCTTTGTTACTTTGGTCCCAGCTCTCTGCAGGTCATTCACTAGGTCCCCCCATGTGGTTCTGGGATTTTTGCTCACTGTTCTTGTGATCATTTTGACCCCACGGGGTGAGACCTTGCGTGGAGCCCCAGATCGAGGGAGATTATCAGTGGTCTTGTATGTCTTTCATTTCCTAATAAATGCTCCCACAGTTGATTTCTTCAAACCAAGCTGCTTACCTATTGCAGATTCAGTCTTCCCAGCCTGGTGCAGGTCTACAATTTTGTTTCTGGTGTCCTTTGACAGCTCTTTGGTCTTGGCCATAGTGGAGTTTGGAGTGTGACTGTTTGAGGTTGTGGACAGGTGTCTTTTATACTGATAACAAGTTCAAACAGGTGCCATTAACACAGGTAACGAGTGGAGGACAGAGGAGCCTCTTAAAGAAGAAGTTACAGGTCTGTGAGAGCCTGAAATCTTGCTTGTTTGTAGGTGACCAAATACTTATTTTCCACCATAATTTGCAAATAAATTCATTAAAAATCCTACAATTTGATTTTCTGGAGAAAAAAAATCTCAATTTGTCTGTCATAGTTGACGTGTACCTATGATGAAAATTACAGGCCTCTCTCATCTTTTTAAGTGGGAGAACTTGCACAATTGGTGGCTGACTAAATACTTTTTTTCCCCACTGTATTGATACTTAGATCATGTAACAGATCATGTGACATTTAGAGTGCGCACAGGTGGACCTTATTTAACTAATTATGTGACTTCTGAAGGTAATTGGTTGCACCAGATCTTATTTAGGGGCTTCTTAGCAAAGGGGGTGAATACATATGCACGCACCACTTATCCGTTATTTATTTTTTAGAATTTCTTGAAACAAGTTGTTTTTTTCATTTCACTTCACCAATTACAGGTTGTAATGCAACATAATAGGAAAAATGCCAAGGGGGATGAATACTTTTGCAGGGCAGTGTATAAGAAATGAGTGTGTTAATGTGTGTGTATATATTGACCTAGAGTCATGCACGTCAATGGTGGTGGGGTTGGGGTAGAGAGTATTGTGTATATGCGTGCATATCAGTCTCCTGCAGCTGCTGGCTCGCTGAGTGTGCTTGTTTCTCCCTTGTCTTTCCTCTTCACCTTCAGAGGGAAGGACACACATTCCAGTGCTGCTTCCCGACTCTGGCCCTGGGCGACTGGCCCTGGGTGACTGGCCCTGGGCAACGCTCGGCCGGAGCTGATAAGTGATGGGGCCCCCAGCCTCCACACAGCGCCGTGCCGGACGCCCCCCTCCTCCCCCTCCTCCTCCTCCCAACCCTGACCCCCCCTGCAGCCTGGCTCATTGCACAGAAGTGCAGCTCTGGAATTCTGCCCTGTGCCCCACTTCTGCCCCCCCCCCCCCCCCCCCCCCCCCCCCCCCCCCCCCCCCCCCATTCCCTCCCTGCCAGAGAGGAGGGGCTATTTAAAGAGATACGCCTGCTTTTATTTTGCCGCTGATGGGTGACACTGCAGCCCATCTTCTTCCCCCACTGTTTATATGGGCTGGGCTGGGCAGGTTTGGGCTGGGCTGAGGTGTGAAAAGTGGCAGCGACCTGTCTCAGTGGTCTGTCTGAAGACACAGTGAGACAGACACAGCCACCGTTGTATTGACGAGTGGCTTGAGAGCAGAAGGAGAGTCATGCAACTGTGATCAGGTGTTGCCAAGGTTTTATACAAATGGCTGCACAGTTAGTTAACCCGCGGAGCGTAATGCTTTTTTCCGCTCCGTTTGCGTTGACAGAGCTGAGAATTCATCGGCTTGATGTTTTGCTTTGGGTTTCAGGCAGAATGCTCGGCCTGGGTTTGGGCAGTTTTTGGTTTGTTAAGACAGGTTGGTCTGGCGTCTCATTTCTACCTCCAGAGAGGTATCAGGTTAACCTTCCTCACATTGATATTTAAACGAAGGGATGAAAATATAAATGAAAAAAGAAAAAAATTCAACATGTTGAATGCTTGCACTCTCAAACACATGCAAGTGTGCGCGCGTACACACACACAGAAATGAACACATACATGTACTGTACTTATACTCCATGCATTAAGCATTCCACTCAGAATCAATACCAAAAATTCAAGTGCCAAAAAGCCTCCGACCATGAGTGCGTGTGTGACTGTGTGTGTATGCAAGCGTGTTTGTGCGTGCGTGCATGTGTGTTTGCCTCAATTGCTGGAACCTATCCAGGGTTTCCGTGGCGACCACACAACACAGCGAGACAATCAGAAACAGGCCCACGCAGCGCAGCGAGAGGACATTAACACAGGAAGGGAGGGCGGCAGAGGAAGGCTGAGGGAGGGGGCAGAGTACAGGAAAGGTGGCAGTGCAGGAAAGAAGGCCCACGTGCACGCAAGACTAACGCGTGCGACCTGTGTCTTGCCAACAAAGGGTATATAAAAAAGTTGAGAAACTTTTTTTTTGCCCCAATACTTATTTTCCCCCTTATTTGCAAATAAATTCAAAAAAAATCCTACAATTTTCCTCATTTTGTCTGTCATAGTTGATTCCTAATAAAATACAGGCCCTCTCTCATTTTTTTAAAGTGGGGAACTTGCACAATTGGGGGCTACTAAAATTTTTTCCCCCACTGTTAGGGAAACCTCCAAAGAGGTTGCAACAAGAGAGACCCCTTTTTTAAATGGGTGTGTACATTAGGTTTTTTTGGGGGTTTACTTAATAAAAAGTGATATGGGGGTTTCCCACCACTATTTTAAGAAAAAATGCACAATTGTAGTCACTCTGGAAAAGACATTGCAAAATGACTAAAGTAAATGAAAAAATGTTTGGGGAGTCCCCCAATCCCTTTTTTGGCAAACCCCAAAACGTTTTTTGTTATTTTTGTCTTTAATCAAGGGCATTTTTTCTGGCCCTCTTCCGAAAAGCCCAGCTCGGGGAGGTAGGGTTTTAAAGGGGGTCCTAGGGACAGTACCCCCAATCCCCGGTGGAGCTTTGCACTCCTTCGGGTTTTTTTTTTGGTTCTTTGTTGCCTCTCTGTTAAATCCCCCTCCTTGCTTCCTGTTTTTGGTGTTGGGGCCCCTCTTTTTGGCGGTTTTTTTGGCCATATTTTTTCCATTTTTTAAAAAGGTTTTTTAAGGGTGCATGTGCAATTTAAAATTTCTGATATTTTTTTTAAACCCCAAACCCCTGATTTCCCTTCTCCAAAATTTTGTCCCTGACATTTTTTTGGAAGCCCCCTTTGGTTTTCGGGTGCCGCTTTTTTGGGGGTGCCCCTTGTAGTGGGTTGCAGACTTTTGTGCCTTCGAAAGGTTATATAAAAGTGGGGGAAAAAATATTAGTCGCCACCTTTTGTGAAAATTTCTCCCACTTAAAAAGTAGAGAGGCCTTAATTTTCATCATAGGTCCCGTAAAACTATAAGACAAAAGGAAAAAAAAAAATCCAAAAAATACATTGTGGTTTTTTTAATGAATTTATTTGCAAAATGGGGGAAAAAAATATTTGGCAAAAACAAAATTTTTTCCAAATTTTGTTATAACCCTTTGTTGGAAATGTCAGGTAAAAACGTTTTCTGTAAGTTTTACAAGGTTTTCACACACTGTTGCTGGTTTTTTTGGCCCCTTCCTCCTGCGATCTCCTCTAGAGCAGTGGTTTTGGGGTTTCGCGGGGCCACGGATTTAACCCCCTCCAAAGTTTTTCTTGGGTTGAATCTGGAGACGGTGGCCACCCCAGGCCTTGAAAGCTTCTTACAGCCATCCTTCGTTCCCCCGGGCGGTTTTTTGGGGATCTTGTCATGTGAAAACCCACCCGTTTCACTAAATCCCCTTGCATGGGGGGAGGTTTTCACTCAAAATCTACATACTGGCCCCATTCATTTTTTCCTTTAATGGTCAGTCGTCCTGGCCCCCTTGCAGAAAACACCCCCAAAGCATGTTTTTTCCCACCCCCATGCTTCACAGTAGTAGGTGTTCTTTGGTCAACTCAGCTTCTTTGTCCTCCAAACGACAGTTGTTTTTTCCCAAAAAGTTATTTTTTGGGTTTTCATCTGACCACTACATTCTCCCAACCCTTTGGATCATCAAAAGCATCTAGAAATTCAAACGGGCCCCGGACTTACTGGCTTAACGGGGGGGAACGTCTGGCACGCAGGATTTAGTCCCGGGGCGGGGGTGTTTACTGATTTTAGGCTTTTGTTACTTTGGCCCCACTCTCTGCAGTCTTTCCCTGGTCCCCCCTGGGGTTTTGGGGATTTTTGCTCACTTTCTTTTATCTTTTTGACCCCCGGGGGGTGAGACCTTCGGGGAGCCCCGACGGGGAGTTTATCATTTTTGTATTTTTTTCTTTTCCCCAAATTAAATGCTCCCACTTTTGTTTTTTAAAACCCAAAGCGCTTACCTATTCCCAAAGATTCAGTCTTCCCAGCCTGGTGCAGGTCTAAAAATTTTGTTTCGGTGTCCTTTGACAGCTTTTTGGTCTTGGCCATAGTTGGTTTTTGGAGTGTGAATTTTGAGGTTTGGAAGGTTCTTTTTACTGATAACAAGTTAAAAAACAGGTGCCTTTAAACACAGGGAACGGTGGAGGACAGGGGACCCTCTTAAAGAAAAAAGTTACAGGTCTGGAGACCTAAATTTTTGCTTGTTTTTTTGGTGACCAAAATATTATTTCCCACCATAATTTGCAAAAAATTCATTAAAAATCCTCAATTTGATTTTTTTGGGAGAAAAAAAATCTAAATTTTGTCGTCATAGTTGCGTGTCCCTTGATGAAAATTAAGGCCCCCCCTTCTTTTTAAGTGGGAGAATTTGCACAATTGGGGCTGACTAAATACTTTTTTTCCCCACTGTTTTGATACTTAGATCATGTAACAGATCATGGGACATTTAGAGTGCGCACAGGGGGCCCTTTTTTAAACAATTTGTGACTTCTGAAGGAAGGTTGCCACCAATCTTATTTAGGGTTTTTAGAAAAGGGGGGAAAACATACACGCACCACTTATCCTTTTTTATTTTTAAAATTTTCTTGAACAATTGTTTTTTTCATTTCACTTCACCAAATTACAGGTTGTAATGCAAAAAATGGGAAAAAAATCCCAAGGGGGATAAATATTTTGCAGGGCGAAAAGAAATGATGTGTTAATGTTTTAAATATTTGCCCTAGATCATGCCCGTCAAGGTGGGGGGGTTGGGGGGTTTGTTTAATGGGGCATATCAGTCTCCTGCAGCTGCTGGCTCCGAGTGTGCTTGTTTCCCCTTGTCTTTCCTCTTCACCTTCAGAGGGAAGGAAACCTTTCCCCAGTCGCTTCCCCGACTCGGGGCCCTGGGCGACTGGCCCGGGTAGGGGCCCTGGGAACGTGGGCCCGGAGGGGGAAAAGTATGGGGCCCCCACCTCCACACAGCGCCGTGCCGGACCCCCCCCTCCTCCCCCCCCTCCTCCCCCAAACCCCCTGCCCCCCCCCTGCAGCCTGGCCATTGCACAAAAGTGCAGCTCGGGAATTCTCCCCCTTGCCCCACTTCGCCCCCCCCCCCCCCCCCCCCCCCCCCCCCCCCCCCCCCCACCCCCGCCAGAGAGGAGGGGCTATTTAAAAGTCCCTTTTTTATGTTTTGCCGAAGGGTGACCGCAGCCCACTTTTCCCCCACTTTTTATAGGGGGGGGGGCTGGGCAGTTTGGGCGGGGCTGAGGGGAAAAAGGGCAGCAAATTTCATGGTCTGTTGAAGACCCAGTGAGACGCACCCCCGTTTTTGAGATGGCTTGAAGCAAAAGGGAGAGTCTGAAACGTGATAGGTTTTTAAAGGGTTTTTTTATACAAAGGCTGCACAGTTAGTTACCCCGGAGGAAGCTTTTTTCCGCCCCGTTTGCGTTAAACAACGAAAATTTTCATCGGCTTATTTTTTTGCTTTGGGGTTTTTCAGGCAAAGCTGGGCCTGGGTTTGGGCTTTTTGGTTTGTTAAGACATTGGTCGGCGTCTCATTTCTACCTCCGAGGTTCGGGTTAACCCTTCCCACATGTATTTAAACGAAGGGATAAAAAATTAAATGAAAAAAAAAAAAAAAATTAAACAATTTAAATGTTTGCACTCCAACACATGAAAGGTGGCGCGCGACACACCCCAAAGAAATGAACCATATTTTACTGTACTTATACCCCATGCAAAGCATTCCACTCGACAATACCAAAAATTAAAGTGCCAAAAAAGCCTCCGACCAGAGTGCTTGTGACTGTGTGTGTACAAGGTTTTTGTGCGGCGTGATGTGTTTTTTCCCCTCAAGGGGAAAACCTATCCAGGGTTTCGGGGCGACCACACAAACACAACAATCAGAAACGGGCCCCCAGCAGCGCAGCGAGGGGACATTAACACCGGAAGGGAGGGCGGGGGAAAGGGCTGAGGAGGGGGGCGGTTACGGGGAAAGGGGGGAGCGAGGGGGGCAAGGGAAAAAAAGAAGAAAAAACAAAAAATGAAAAAAAAAACCCTTTAAAAAGCTAGTTTGGGCTCCTCTTTCATCCTCCCTGCTATCAATTTTCCTTCAAATTTCTTTGGCCATAAAAACTGACTCCCTTTCCTGGCGCATCAAAAACCGCTACGGTGTGTCTGACTTTATGGGGGGGGTTTCAGAGATGGGTGCATGCGTGACTGATCGTGTGTGTGGTGTGTGTTTATGTGGGGTTAGGTGTGTTAAGAAATGTGGTGTAGCGACCATGGTCTGAAAATCTAATGTGTTGGAAAATGAATGTTGTTATAGCGTTTTGTGGTGTTGTGTACACACTGTGCCCCCCCAGGGACAGCCTAAAAAAAAAAAAAAAAAAAAAAAAAACTCTGCCCCCAAAGCCCTTGGGGGTTTTAACAAGCGTCTGTCTGCCTCCATCGCTGTCCTGTAGCCTCCCCCCCTTTTCCCCCCTCCTCCCATCCCCGCCATCCCTAAATTACACCCCCTCACAAACGTGGCCTCTCTCTCCAAACCACAACCCCAAACCCCACGGCCCCTCCCACTTCTTGGGAGGCCCCCTTCTGGAACCACAGCCCAGGAAGAATGAGTCGGAGAGAAAGGGAAAGGAAAAAAAGGGGGAAGAGGGGAAAAGAAAAAAGGGAAAGAGGGAAAGGGCCCGAATAGGTGGAGATGGGCAGGGAATATCCCGAAAAATAGGTGAGGAGATGAAACAGGGGGAATATTAATGAAAAATAGGTGAGGAATAATCGGGAGAAAATTCCCCCGAGTAATAGGGGAGGAGAGGAATCAGGAGGAATATTCCATGAATAATTTTGGGGAAAGGAGATGGGAACCGGAGAATAACCATAATAATGTGAGGAGATGGGAAACGGGAGAATATCCCTGAATAATATTGGGGGGATGGAACAGGGAAATATCCATGAAAACAACCCCCCGTCATTAATTCCCATTTTCAAGGAGGCTTTTTCAAACACCAACACATTTTTAACCAAAAAACATCAAGACGTAACCAACACACCAAGAGTAACCAAAACACCAACACTATAACCAACTTCCAACCAAAAATAACCAAAACTAGCAACCAACCAAAACAAAACATAGTAACCCCAACATAGAACCCCACAAGAACAGTAACCAAGACTAGTAAGCAAACATATCCAAAACACAAAACTAGTAAACCAAAATACCAAAACTTTTAAACCAAAACATAGTAAGCAAGACATATACCAAAACACCAAGAATAGTAACCAACACACCAAGACGTAGTCCAACACCCAAGACATAGTAAACCCAAAACCCCAAGACTAGTAAACCAAAACAATAACCAACCACCAAGAATGTAACCAAACACAAAACATTGTAAACAAGACGATTAAACCCAAAAACCAAAAAACCAAAACACCAAGAATAGTAACCACCAAACCAAAACATAGTAAACCCAAAAAGAACCAAAAAACCAAACAAGGAACCAACACACCAAAATAGTAACCAAAACACCAAAACATAGTAACCCAAAACCCAAGACAAAATCCAACACCCCAAAGACATTGTAAAAAAACGTAGAACCAACACCCAAGAAAGTAAAACCCACCAAGACATAGGAAAAACCAACACCCAAGACATAGTAACCAAAACATAGAAACCCAAAAACATGGGGCCAACAAACCCCCGAAATAGTAACCACACACCAAACTAGTAACCAACACCAAAACATAGTAACCAAGAATAGAACCCACACCAAGACAAAAAACCAAAAAACAAAAACATAGTAACCAAGACTGTAACCAAAACCAAAAAAAGACGGGTAACAAACACACCAAGCGTATTTAAACCAAAAATGTAAAAAACACCAAGATTAGTAACCAAGACATAAACCAAAACATAGTAACCAACACACCCAAAACAAATTTTAACCCAAAACACAAAACATTTTAACCAAAACATAGTAACCAAAAACCCCCAAAACATATAAACCCAAAACAAGTAACCAAAACATAGTAACCAACACCCAAGAATAATCCAACACACAAAACTTGTAAACCCAAAACATAGTAACCAATCATAGTAACCCCAAAACCCAAAAACATAGCAAAACCAAAACACAAGCTAGTAACCAAAACAAGTAACCAAAACATAGTAAACCAAACCCCACAAACCATTTAACCAAGACTATAACCAAACCCACCAAACATAGTAAACCAAAACTAGTAACCAAGACATGTAACCAACACACCAATCTAGTAACCAAAACCAAAAATGTAACCCAAAAACCCAAACCCAAACTGTAACAACACACCAAACATAGTAACCAACACACAAGCAAGTAACCAAGACGTATAACCAAAACACCAAGACGAGTAAACCCTCACCAAGACTAGTAAAACCAACACCCAAGACATAGTAACCAAGAAAGTAGCCAAGACAAGTAACCACACACCAAAAAATAGTAACCAACCCAAAAACTGTAACCAACACCAAAAAATGTAAAACCAAACTGTAAACCCAAGACATAGTAAAAACACCCAAGACATAGAACCAACACACCAAGACATAAACCAAGACCCCAAGATGGGTAACCAAACCCCAAGACATGAACCCCACCAAAAATTGTAAAACCCAAAACACCAAATTTTGTATCAACAAACCAAGACATATAAACCCAAGACATGTAACCCAAACATGTAAAAAAACACCAAAAAAAGTAAAACCCCCACACCAAAACATGTAAACCAAAAACACCAAAAATAGTAACCCAAAAATGGAACCCCAAAACACCAGACATATAAACCAACACCAAAAACATTGTAACCAAAACATAGTAAAAAAAACACCAAAAACTATAAAACCAGACATGAACCACACACCCAAAATGTGGAACCAAAAACCCCCAAACTAGTAACCAACCACCCAAAACATAGTAACCCTACACCAGCGTTGTAACCAACACCCAAGACATAGTAACCAAGCTATAACCAAGACTAGTAACCCCACACCAAGACATATAACCAATACACCAAAATTGTAAAACCAAACCCCCAGACATAAATAAACCAAAACTTGTAAAACCAAGAAAGTAAACCAACACACCAATAAATAGTAACCACAACCAAATAGTAACCCAAACACCCCCAAAATAGTAACCAAGACATAGTAACCAAAACCCAAAACCAAGACATGTAAACCCAAAACACCAAAACATTGTAACCAACACACCAAAACTAGTAACCAGACTAGTAACCAAAACAACCCAAAATAGTAACCAACACAACCAAAAACTGTAACCAAAACACCAAGACAAGTAACCAAGACATAGTAACCAAGACATTAACCAACAACCCAAAACATAATAACCAACAACAAAGACTGTAAACCCAAAACAAGTAAACCAACACACCCAAACGTATAACCAACACCCAAGAACAGTAAACCCAAAACATATAACCAAAACATATTTTTCCAAAACATATAACCAACACACCACCATGAAAACCCAAAACCAAAAACATTGTAACCAAAAATGTAACCCACCCCGAGAGTAGTAACCAACACACCAAGAATAGTAACCAACCCCCAAAAACAAGAACCAAGACAAGTAAACCAAAACTAGTAACCAAAACTGAAAAAAACACACCACAATAGCAACCCAATACACAAAAGACTGTAACCCAAACAAGTAACCCCCAACCCCAAAGAAACCAATACACAAAAACATTGTAACCAAGAATATAAAAAACAACCAATACGTTAACCAACCAAACCCAAAACATAGTAACAAACCCAAACATAACCCAAAACAAGTAACCAGACCAGTACCACACACCAAGAAATGAAAACCCAAAACCCAATACATATAAACCCAACCACAAAACAAGTAACCCAAAACAAAAGAAATTGTAAAACCCAAACCTAGTAACCAAAAAACCAA